ATCTTTTGCATTCCTGCAATCACCATGAGAGATTCCTGCTAAATACAGTTGACTTATGATGCTTTCAGTTCAGCTAGTGAGGTGTTATAGTAAATATATTTTGAAATATGGTTATTGGTGCATGCAGAACATTTTATTTACAAGTCAATCTTTTTGTATTCCATGGCAGCTTACATTGTCTATTACAGTTTCCAACATTGAATGGCAGTGCTGGCATTCTGTCCAATGCCTTTTACCCCTGCCAAGATTTTCATTATACTTTTCAGGTCTAGTGCTAACACTAGATCATTCCATTTGGTTGTGTGGACATTTTGAAGCATTTTGACTAGTCAAATATATACTCACATTGCTGTTCTCTTCATCATCTGAATCACGAAGGTCTGTATTCCCTGCGTCTGTATCAGTGGATTCTTGTTCCATTTCACAGGAACTTTGGTTCACATGTCCAACATAAAAATCAATCATCAGCATGATACACCCACACCACTCTTCTGTTATAAAAGCATGTTTTACCATAATGGATCATCTTCATCATCCATGCACGAATAATTTGATGATACACTTTAAAAAAAAAAAAAAACAGATCCTGGAGTGGTGTGGGCCTATTGGACCCTGTGTGATGCTTGGGTAAACATAAACAAAATCAGCTACAGAGCATAAGGTGAGGAAAAAATCCATTTTGCCACTTTTGTACATGTGCTCACACCTTACCACTCATCATACCAAGTAGGTAAACACATAAATTGTTTCCTGTAATCCTCAGGAGAAGGAGCTGAGATACACAGCTGGCTACTATAACACTAAAGTACAAATTTGCAATACAAAAGTAAGAGATGTGTCCCCTAGACCCAGTCTTACGGACCTAGTTGAAAAGGCTATCATTTTCCCATGTATCCTTTTAGTGTGTTTGTTGGAAAATCAGTTTGCTAAAGATGTATGGGTTTATTTCTGAGATTTCCGTTCAGTTCATTTGTTCTTTATGTCTGTTTTTATGCCAATGCCATGTTTTTGCTACTATGGATCTGTATCTAAATATGATTTTAATAACTCTAGTTTTTCTCTTTTTGTTCAAAATTGCTTTGGCTATTGAGTCTTGCTTTCACATGAAAGTTAGGCTGTTTTTTTTCTATTCCTGTGACAATGTCACTACTATTTTGGTAAGGACTGTACTGAATCAGTAAATTGCTTTGATTAGTATGGATATGCTAGCAGTATTTATCTTTTGCAGTCCAAAAACACAGAGTTCTTTTGTGTGACACACATTTGCGTTTTAAATTACTTTCATTGATATTTAAAAAGTTTTATTGTGTGTCTTTTATTTCCTTGATTAAATTTATTCCAAAGTCTTGGGGGAGTTATTGTGAACAAGGTTGTTTTTATGATTTCTTTTTTACCAAGTTTGTTATTGGTGTATAAAAGTAGTACTGATTTTTGTAAGTTATTTTTATATCCTGCTACTCTACTGAATTTCTTCAGCAGCAATTTGTGGTACCTTTATAGGTTTTTCTATACATGAATCATATCATTTGAAAACAGGTAGAATTTACTTCTTCCCTTCCTTTTTGTATGCCTTTTATTTCCTTTTTTCCTCCATAATTATTCCAGCTAAAACATTTAGCACTATATTAAATAAGAGTGGCAAGAGTACACATTCTTTTCTAGTTCCAAGTCTTATAGAAATTACTTTCAGCTTTTCCCTGATTAGCATGACAGTGGGTTTATCATATCTAGCCTTCTGCTTATTGGTGTATAATCTTTCAATACCTTATTTCTTCAGGATTTTTATCATAAAGGGATACTGAATTTTCTTTTAATTTTTTTTCTCCATGTACTGAGATGATCATATGATCTTTATGGTGATGTGGATGCGATGACTCACACTTACTGATTTGCATATGCTGAACCATCCTCATAGCCTAGGAATAAATGCAATTTGACCATGATGGATGGTCTTTTTGATAGGCTGTTGGACTTGATTTTCTAGTTTTTTGATGAGGATTTTAGCATTTGTTTTAATCAGAAATACTGGTTTACAGTTTTCTTTTCCTTTTTTGTGCTTGTCTAGTGTTAGCAGGAGGGTAATTACTACCTTATAGCATGACTTTGAAAGAATTCTCTTCTTTTCAATGCTTTGGAATAGTTTGAAAAGAAATGGTCCTCATTCTTTAAAGGGTAGTAAAATTCAGTAGGGAAGCTATCTGACCTGGGGCATTCCTTTATTGGGCAACTTTATTACTTATTCAACCTAGTTACATGGTTTTGTTTCATTCAGGTTTTTAATGTACATACATGGCTCAATTTTGATAGGTTATATGTTTCTGGAAATTTATCCATTTTCTCTGAATTTTTCAATTTACTGTCGTATAGTTGTTTATAAGACACACAAATGAGCCTGTCTATATATATATATATATATGTATATACATATATATATATATACACACACTAATGAGCCTGTGAATATATATATATATATATATATATATATATATATATATATAACCAACTGTTCAATTCATTGGTAATTTCTGTTTTTTAGTTTTTATGTTATTTCTGCTCTGATCTTTATTTCTTCTACTCATTGTATATTTTATTTGTACTTGCTTTTCTAGATGCTGGAGATGCACTATTAGGCTATTTGAAGTTTTTCTTTTTTGATGAAGCAATTTATTTCCATAAACCCCACCTCCCCACCCCCAACTCAGCTTTTATTAGTGCTTGAAATCAAATTTCAGGCCTAGAGCATGCAAGAAAAATCACTGTACCACTGAGTTAGGAATTCAATCCCTAAACTTACCTTTTGGCACTGCTTTTGCTGTGTCCCATAATTTTTGGTATGCTGTATTTCCATTTTTATTTTTTGAGAAATTTTTACATTTCCTTTCTTATTTCCTTGATCTATTTTTTGTTTAAAAATATGTTGCTTGGTCTCCATATACTTGTTTGATTGCTGAAGTTTCTTTAGTTGTTGAGTTCTAGTTTTATTCCTTGGTGGTCAAATAAGTTACAAGTTTTCAATTTTTTAATTTATTAAGATTAATTCTGCAACCCAAAATATAGTTTATGGAATGTTCCACATGTTGATGAGAAGAATGTGCGTTCTTTAGTTCATGGATGAAATGTTCTGTACAAGTCCTTTAGGTACAAGCAGACTATAGTACAATTTAACTATAATGCACCTGCTGATTGCCTGAATGATTTATCCATTGATGAAAGTGTGGTCATTGAAATCCTCCACTGTTACTGCTTTGGAGCCTTGTCTTGGTTACTTTTCTCATTGCTGAAACAAAATAGCTGACATATAAAGTTAAAGGAGGAAAAGTTTATTTTGCTCATAGTTTGTAGAGGTTTCAGTTCATAGTTGGCTGGCTCCAAGCCAGAGCAGCATGGCAGAGGGGCATTGTAGAGGAAAAACACTCTGTGCCAAATTAGGGCAATCAGAAGTCCCTCACCAAGCAGCAAGCAACAAATGATCTTTCTGTTCCTTTAAATTGTATCCACTCACATTTAGGGTGGGGCACCTCCCAGAACTGTGCCAAATTAATCAGTTGACTAATTTAGTAATCAGACACCTTTAGTCCCAGCACCACATACCCTAAATCCAGCCACTTCTGAAAAAGTTCCACCTGTGACCATGTGATGACCGCACAAGGCTTTGGAAGAACATCTAGACACAAGCTATATACTATATTTTCCTTTAGATGTAATAAAACTAATTATTCCAACATTAAGTTCATGTCCATTTTCAATCAGCATATCTTATTAGTACTTTGACCATTATATAATGACCTTTGTCTCTATTTAACTTTTAAATCTATTTTGTCTGAAAAGTAGAGCTATACTGCTGCTTGTTATGGGTTTCCATTTGCACAGAATCCTTTCACTTTCAGTCTCTTCCAGTGAAGCAAGTTTCATTACAGGTAATATATTGTTGGTTTCCCCGCCTCCCCCTGCAGTCAGTTTGTATCTTTTAATTGGGAGAATTAGTCCATTCATGGATATTATTCATGGATATTATTGGTAGGTAATTACTTCTATCATTTATTTTCTTATGCCCCAGAGATCCTTTATACCTTTTCTTCTTCTGTTATCTTTATTGGTTGGTGGTTACTTGTAATGTTTCTTTAAAATTTGTGACTATTTACTCTTGTAATGGGTTATGTGTGTCAACTTTCCAAAACTGACAAATTACTTGATGAAAAGAGGAAAAGTTCCTCTTTCTTAAAAGAGGAAAAGTCCACCTTGGCTTGGTTGCAATCCAAAACCAACAGGTAGTGCACCAGAACCATATGATGGCAATGCATGGCAGAAGCAATATTCACTTCTTCGCAGTTAGGAAGCGGAAAGGACGAGAGAGTCTGAGGGCTTGTGCTAGCAGGCATCCTCCTTCTCCCAGTGGATGATGCTGTCCACATTAAGGAAAGTCTCCTGTCAGGGTCCTGGCTCAGGTGTCTCCTGAAACATTCTCGCAGACACGGTTGTAAATGCGCTTTACTAATTTTCAGGGTGTTTGTCAACTCCCTCGTCGTCAAACATGATTAATTATTAATGTGAGTTTTAGACATTCATGTGTTTTAATGATGGACCTTATTCTTAAGCATATTTCGTATGGCTCATCTGATGGTGATAAATTATCTCAGTCTCAGTTTGTCTCAGAAGGTCTTTATTATTTGCTCGATCATGAAGAACAGTTTGATTGGCTATAGTATTCTTGGTTGGTTGTTACACTGAGTCCTTGCATGTATCATCCCATTCCTTTCTCTGTAAGTCTTGGCACAATCATTCTATTAGTTGAATGGGCATAACTCTGAATGCACCTTGGTGTTTTGTTTTCTCTTGTGGTTTTTAGAATTCTCTGTTTTGAACTTGTGACAGTTTGAATCTAATATGTCTTGGTAAAGATCTCTGGACATGTCTAGTTTAGGTCCAAGATTATACTATTCAAATTGCAAAAACACATATATTTTAGAAAATATGCATTTTACAAAATATGGCCCCAAGCATATGAAAGTGTAGTTTTATTGTAGGCACTTTTGGCAAACATAACAGTACATTTTGTTATTCATGTAATCTTTTTACCAATAGTCAGTTATAGTTCATATTACAAACATAAATTACACATTACATCAAATCGTTTATGAATTCTGTAATACAATTAAAACTACCATCCACTCTCCATTTGATAATGGTTCTATTTATGATCCTTTAATTACAAAGTCTCTGAAGATGCTGCACTTGAAATTATCTTTAAATATGGCAGGAAATGTTAAATATGTAACTACCCAATCCAGTAAGTTCTTGTTTTTTGATCTGATCAAATATTATATTTAAACACAACTATTTAATATTTACGATCCCATATAGGCAGGCTTCACTAGCGCCTTGCTCCAGCCTGGACCCTGACCATGGAGAAATAGATGCCTTTCTGGGCGATCAGCTGCTGGTGTGTGCCATGCTCCTGGACCTTGCCGTTCTGAATCACCACGATGAGGTCTGCATTCTGGATGGTGGAGAGGCGATGAGCAATCACGATGCAGGTTCGGCCCTCTCTGGCTTTGTCAAGGGCTTCCTGGACAACCTATTCATTATCACATGAATCAATTTTCATAATAACATTCAATATCTCCCTTTATTCTTCCTTCAACACAAGCTCCACAGTGTCTCTCATTTATTCTTTAACAGTTGTATTGATGAAATGCAACAGATTTTAAAAAGCAAGGGATTTGTCTCATCAGAAAATATGTGAGTCCTAGTTTAGCTAAGTTCTGACACTGATTACTTTTGTTTTAAAGTGATTGCCATAATTTATTCCATCCAGTAACTGGAAAAATATTTCCAAATGCTCCTCACCAGCCAGCATCCCTAAAAGCAGCCACTTTAGGCAGCCCCACAGCAAATCAGGAAGTGTGAACAGCCTCCTTCTCTGTTGATGTGTTTGTTTCAGTGCTAGAGAGTAAAGCCAGTAACTTCACACTAAGCTACATCCCCAGCCTTTTAAAATCGTTTATTTTGAGAGCGGATATCTCACTCACTAAGTTGCTAAATTGCTTATACTGAGCTTACATTTGGATCCTTCTCCTTCAGCCTCGCAGAGTGCTGGGATTACAGATGTGCATCATCATTCTGAGCTCAACCTTAGTATCTTTAGGACAGAAAACTTCTCATAAGCAGTTTGTCTTTTGAGTAGCTGAATTCTTAAGTATTCTCAAACTGAAAATGATTGCCCACATTTATCTTAAGACACAGCCAGATTCTAACCTTGCCTTACACTTTCACACAGGGCTGCTGCAGGATCTGCCAGTAGACACGGGCTCCTGTGTACGGCTTTTTAGTGGAGCATGAAGTAATGCTGAGCTGGTTTCTGGAGCACGTGTGCTCTATCACTAGCTCATCACTCTAGCTCTCCTAATTGACAGTTACAGAAAGCATTTAAATTTCATGGAAACCAGCCATATGCAACGAACAGCAGATCTGCTTAAAATTTGCTTTTTTATTGTGGAAGAGAAAAGCATACATTTAAGCATTTTAAACACAAATAATTCAAGCATGAATGAACCCACTTTAAATTCTTACCTTTTCACTTTCGGTATCCAGAGCTGATGTTGCTTCATCCAAAAGCAAAATCCGAGGCTGCCTGATGAGGGCACGAGCAATGGCAATGCGCTGTTTCTGGCCTCCAGAGAGCTGGGTTCCTTTGTCTCCCACTCTGGTGTCATATTTCTGCAAACAGAAGTTTATTATTACAAAAGTGAAATACAGTTTGCTCTCAGAAAGTAGGGTATTTGTCTCATAGAATGATCAGAAAAATTTAGATGCAGAGACTAAGTGTGTTTACAGAGATTTAAACAACAATCCTTTAAATGGTAAATTTAATCTCTCTTCTGGAAAATACAAACTATACACTTTATTATAAGTCAGCCAGATGTTTCATGAGGAAGACTATTGTTGCAATGCTATTATTTTCCATCTTCAATGTTCATTATTTCATCAATCTTTGTGGACAAAGATGGGCAGGAAAAAAATTTCATCTGAACAGGATGTGTATTGTCATTGAAGCACACTGACTTATAACCAGCACTGACACCATCTGTGTGGATTTTAAAAAGAGGAAAGAAAAATCTTGAGATGTTAGAAAACAGGGTAGTCTTACCATCGTCAGCCCTTGTCAGGCTGAAAGTATAGCCTGAACATGGGCTCTGATTCTTACACCTGGATTTTGACTATTAAAATTCAGCTTTTCCATAACATTGCCTATTTTGATTCATGATACCTGGCAACTCTAGTCTATGGAGCTTAGAACCAGAGCGAGACAGAGAGACAGACAAGGAGACAGAGACAGAGACAGAGACAGAGACAGAGATCCCCAGGTGAGATTTTGGCAGACTTCAGACCAGCTGCAGCCAGAGCAATAGCAAGTACACAGAAGCGTGTGTCATGTGAGTGTGGGCACCTCCGGGCTGCACCAGTGCAGCAGGTGCCCTTTTGAGACAGATGAGAGAGTGCTGAAATCCTAGAGAAGATGGATGTGTATTGGCATCGGTGGATGCAGGTGAATCCTACTACTAATAACTCAGAACAAAAATGTATCTTTAGATAAACAGAGCCTAGTTATCTAAGAAATTAGTGCGCTGATCTAATCTCTAAGGAAAGTAGAGTAGAAAATCTCCCCTAATGTCTAAAGGTTTGATGGATAAATATCAGGAATCCAGAAAAGTCGGGTCCCTGTGGTAGACAAAAACCTTAATTAAATAGTAGGTAACGGTTATTCTGTGCTGCCCTCCACCACCAAAGTTTCAATCAGCAGAGGTAGAACTGGGCCTGAAAAGTTCTAGCAAGTGCCCAGGTGATGTTAATACATGTGCATACTTTGAGAATCACTGACTTCTCTTTAACGAAGGATTTGTGTGCTGGTTAATTGATTAATTGTCAGCTGAGTGGGAACATCCAGCTGAACTGAGTCAGCATGGTTCTGGGCATGGAAGATCCACTTCAGGAGGATTATTGTTGGAACTGGGTAAAAGGAGAGCAAGAGAAAAGAATTTCTGCTTGTCTTCCTTGAAAGAGCTTCACCGCTGATTTTCCTTGGGGCAGTTTTGGTTGTTCTCTTCGGAGGTACTCTGGTCTTCAAATCCAACTTGAGCACTGTCTCTTTATTTCTGGTGCAGATTCTTCAGCCTCCAGTACTGGCTTTCTGGTTTGCCAGCACACACCCTTCTACAATTCCTCAGCCTCCTGATACAGACTCACACAGGATATTGCTGTGGGCTCTAGGGCTTTGGCTGGATTCTTTGGATCTCTAGTGCTCAGACAGATCTCTTACACTGTTTACATCTGACTATGTGAGTAGAAATTGTAAGCTAATGTTGTAAATTTCTGGGTCCTGCATTAAATCTGATTCAGAGCATGTGCAGTCTTTTGAGCAGCCTTGCCCCAGCCCTGCAAGCTCTTGTAAATTCTGACTACAACAGTTTGGAAATTTACATTTGAAGTGTTCAAGCCTCAAGAAAAGTTAATTATCTATACCTGTTAAAGGAGAAGAGAAGGACCACGCCTTTTGCTCTGGGGACTCCTTTAGAGGCAGCTAAATCTAAAGCAGAGCTTTAGGAAAAGGAAATCTTGGAAGGAGTTGGGACTACTTGGTGTTACCCTTATCATGAGGAAATTGCCTTTCTTTATGGTTTGAGGCTGCTGAGCTTTATTTTTTAGGAGTGATTCCTTGTAATAAAGCACATAGCTTGTGAATATTGGAGGGGGTTCATTAGCTACTTCGAGATGCATTTCAAAATACAGGACCTACCAGGCCCAAAGAGAAAGAGTGAAGTTCCCGTTACCAAAGCTCCTAGAGCAATGATGGTGAATGTTTTAGAGACAAGTGCCCGAACTACAACCTGAAGCCCACTTATCTATCACAAAGTGCTGACACTGCAATTCAACCTGAACACTGAGGTTTTAGTTTAATAAAAACAATTCATACATTAACATCTTTGTCTTAAAAGAAAAGCCAATAACACATGTGGCACAGGTTCACTACCACTATCTAGAGGAACTGAAAGTCACAGAACAAAGCCCAAGATAGATTTCAACACTTAATCATAGAAATGGAGAGCAGGACTCATGGAATGCATGATGATTACACAATACCATGGTCATCCCAGTGGCTCAGCTGTGTTCAAAGAGAATCTGGTGACTCCTTGGAGTGAGGCTAGGGCTTGGAGAAGAGCAACAAGGAGGCAGAGGGAAGACAAATGAAGGAGAGCATGAGAAGGATGGTCATGCCTGCCTCTCTGGCAGGACCAGAAGCATTGTGGGAGGCCCAAATGGTGCCTGCAGGTCCTGTCCATGGACTAGGGGCAAAAAGAGGGAGGGGAAAGGAAAGGCCTCCTAAATACCCCATTTACCATGGGCTGAAAAAAATGGAGGCTCAAGTCTACAAGCTGGAGAGTTGTTGCAGGATGCCTACCCAAGCAAAGTTCTCTCCTAAAGCTAAGTCCAGAACTTTATACCCTTCTTCACGAAGACGGTCAGATGACCAGGAAAACAAAACTAATAACCAGGGCAGGAAGTGGGGTCAGATACTTGTTCCCACCTGCTCCTCACCTTAGCAAACCAGTCCTTTAGAATGGGGCTACGTCATTTGATCACACTGATTGTAGCTAAGCGGGTATAGCACTTATCCAAGGGTTTGAGCCCTTGCATTGCAAATGAAAAGAGGGATGAGGATTAGGAACAGTAGGGGGAGGAGGAAGAGGAAAGGAAGAAGGGAGGAAGAGTGATGACAATGAAAATCAGACAACAAACAAAAAGATCACTGCATGCTCCTGGGATCTTACTGTGGAGGGACACTTACGTTAGGCAGCGACTCGATGAACTGGTGGATGTTGGCCTCCCTGGCTGCCTGCTCGATCTCCTCCTGTGACACGGTCCGGCTGTTGTCTCCATAGGCGATGTTCTCCCCGATGCTGCAGTCAAACAGGATGGGCTCCTGGGACACGATGCCCAGCTGTGCTCGCAGCCACTGCACATTCAGTTGCTGTATTTCTTTGCCATCCACAAACTAAAAAGAAGAGTACACACATCACCTTCTGGACCAGCACACTTTGAATTTAGCAGAATTGGCACCGTTATTTCATGCTTTAAAAGAGTCAAGGTACTTTGAGGTTAAGGGAAAATTGTTTGTCTTGCTTTGGGTTGTCAAGGTTAATCTAACAAGGTCATAACTGTACATTTTGAGGGAAGATCATGGCTGCTACTCCTTCCCTGAGCTATCCATGTTTTAATCTGGAAACCTGTGAATATATTATGTTACACGATAAGGAGGTATTAAAACTGCAAATGGAATTAAGGCTGCTAATTAGCTGACTAAAAATGATTATCCTGGATTATCTTGGTAAGCCCACTGTAGTCATAAGAGTTCTTAACTGTGAAAGAGAGAGGCAGGACAGTATCCTTTCATGCAGTACAAGAAGACTTGGTTAGATATTGCTGGCTCTGGAGATGGAAGAAGGGATCAAGATCTAGAAAAGTCAGGACAACAGTTTGTTCTTTGCAGTCCACAAAGGGGACAGAGCTCTGTTGGCACCCTGATTTTATCTGTGAGACTTCCTTCATATTTATAACCTCCATGAGTATAAAGGTAATAAATGTGTGCTATTTTAAGCCAGTAGATTTGTGGTTCTGTGAGCCATAAGAAACCACTACTCCATTCTTCTGAGCTGTATCCTGGAATCCTAATTCTTACATCTCAGTTTGTCATACTAAGAACAGCCTGAATCAGAGTGGAAATAAATACAACTATGATCACATGCTTGGTTTGTGGGTTGGGTCAGGTTTCTGATCTGACCCATGTTTGAGAAGCCAGAGGCAGTGGTCACATGGAGCAGTAGTTCACACTGTAGGTCAGTGCCACATCTCTGTGCCTGCTTATCTCAGGAAAAACAATCCATTTCTTTTACTTTCTTTGAGGGCAATACAAGAACACTGGAGACTTCTCAATGTATCCGCGGGAAGATGTGTCTCTCTTTCTCTTGCTGGTTTGCACCTTGCTGTTTGCAGCTAGACATGAAGGGCTGCCCCTCCATGCCATGCTGCCTTAGAGTCACACCATACTGCCTTGGAGTCCACTGAGTATGCACTGAAACCTCTAAGAACTATAAGTTCCTTCATTTTGGGAGTCCAGTATTTTGTCCCAGCAGCAAGTAAAAACTAAGACACAAATGTTAAGCACAATGTGTAACTAAAACACAAATGTTAAGCACACTGTGCAAGTATATACTCTGAAATAATAAATTAAAATCAAACTGATTATACTGTGGATTCTGTGATAAATATGCCTCATACATTCTTTTGTTTAATCTTCACAACAGCTCTCAGGAGGTAACTGTGATGTTAATTTCCATTTTATAGACAAAGCAATGAGATTTTAGTAAATTACACAAAGTACATAGCAAGTTAGGGAACAAAGTAAGCATGGATCTTAACACTATAGGTTGGATTTGACAACAAAAGTATCTCATAATTGGAAGATAGTCTCTGTCTTCCTTTAAAAGGCAACACCTCCACTTTGGCCAGGTGTCTATTGGGTTGTAACAAATATACTGAAGCAGATGAGGGGCTCAGTTATTTGGGATGGACTGCAACCTCTATATGCCTCATTCAGGTAGAAAACTCAATATTCTGACAACTTAATTATAACTAAAAAAAACTAGTTGCCTTACCAAACATGAATACTCTGGACATGGATCTATCATCTTATGACAGCACTAAACTCCCATCAAGGGAAGCCCAAGAACAGCTATCTGTTCATGCAGTTCATTGAGTTTATCCTTGTGCTACACCTCAAGTTACTCTGGGCAAACCTAGTCATCTAAAGACCTTGTACCTTACAGCATCTCTTCAAAGTACTTTCTAATTAAGTGCAAGCTATCGGTGTTTAAGGGAAAACAAACATTTGTTTAGTATTTTCTATGAGTGCCTTCCTAGGAATAGCACTTCCAGTAACTCAGTAACTCAATGCAAGTACGCATACAATTTTCTAGCCTGCTACTTTTATTATTCAGAAAAATGAAGGAAGTATGTCTTTCTAAGTTATTTTAAGGGCCTACTACAACCATTTCTCAGGCATGGAATAAATGCTATTTGACAGAGATAAGCATAAGGAAACAAACAAAAGATTTAGCTACTTTTGTTTAAAGAAAAAAAACATGTGCAGAACTTTAACACACGTGGCTAAACACAACATTCCAACATTAAACTTCTCAAGTTCATGACGATCATCTTCTGAAAGATAAACTGAGCTTTTCTGAAACCAACTCTTACATTAACTTATGAAACTTTTCCCCCAACAATATCTGAAACCAATCCTGATACTCATTAGAAAGTCTGATGCAAGAAAATGACATCAAAAGCATGAGAGAGTTAGGACAGTATCCCAATGTCCACCTTCAGAGTTTATCATCAGAGGACTGGTCATTTTCATCACTTACTTGTTTGTATTTCCCTAAAGACTTGTTCTCTAGATTCTAACTTTGTTTTAATATTGGGTCTTTTGGCTAATCATGCTGCAAGCTTTGCTAGCATCTTCTCATAATTCCATTTCTGCATTTCTGAAGGACTAGAATTCTCCTATGGACAGCAGCTGTGCAGGCAAATAATGAACTGGGCATTGCAGCGCTGTGATGTCATGAAGACGCTGTTTATCCTTCTATAACCATCTCCAAGCAAAGAGGAGACTTCTTTCTGACAGTGAGTCACTCTTTTTTTTTTAAATTTATTTAAGAAGAAAAGAAAAAAAAAGTGAAAGGGTACTAGTTATACAGATTTACAGAAGAAAAAAATGAACAGTAGGAAATCACTAGTTAATGGATTACATATTGCCATCTTAGAAATAATTGTTCAAGTCACAAAATTAAAGCTTGTAGAGTGGACATTCCAACAATGATACTGCATTCAGTTCTGTTCAATGATCCAATAAAACTCTGTGATATCATTTTCTATCTTATACACTTAAATATACATGCAGTTATATAGTTTAGAGCACTTTCTTTTCCTCTCTTTTGTACAATGACTATTACACATTTTGGGTTTCATTGCTCCCACGGTTCTTATTGCTTTTTTGGAAGAGAGTAAAACCAAATGAGACATAACAGAACAGAATCGGTCAAGTCAAAAGGGTGGACATAATAGATAATATAAAAACATAATACAAGGTGATCAACAATGGTTACCATAATGCCTCCCGCTATCTCTAATAGAATTGCCTATATCATTAGTTATAATACAATTGAACAAAATAGTAAAGAACAAAACCGACAAAACCAAAACATTGGAGACATTGTAGGTCTTCAAAAGTAGATAAACGTCAACGAGAATGGGCATTATAATGAATCTCATTATCTTCTCAGCTGATGCCTAAACTTTCGAACCTGATACTATCCATCAAAACAGAATAGGGGAACATCAGTCAAAAACAAGATGGTGAGAGTAATACAGGGCTTCAAATCGAAATAATAGAAAGTCAAAGTGGGTTACTATATTATATCCTGCTATTTTTTCCCTTTAATTAAACGGATAAAAATAAAAAAGTAAATAATGGAGTGGAGATTGAGAAAAAAGAGGGCATAACAGCAAAACAGCGCAGATCAAAGCATAACCATTTAAGCAGAATAGTGTTTCACCACCAGATAATTTCGACCTGAAAGTAGTTACCATATTGACTCTTTCCTTGAAGTCCTTGAGTACAACTTCGTATACTGTAGCATTAAGTATATCAAAACAATGTAAAACCATTTAAGAGAATGACAGCATTATAGAGTATTTAGAATCGACTAACAGAAAATGAACAATGGTTTCTGTATAATCTCCTTGTCTTTAAAAGGTTTTTGCTTATATTATCGTACATAATAAAATCCAATAAGATACAACCTATTTAGACCATTGGAGACAGAAGAACAAAAGCTAGATGAGACTTCAAAACAAGATGATATTAAATCAGTATTACCTATTAAGATGTCATTTTCTCTAAAATAGCTGTTCCTATCATCCAATCTTCTCTGTCTCATTTCTGTTGAGCTCTTTTTCTGTCAGTAGCTGTCAGTTTGTCTTCTTCATTTTGTTCTCTGCTCCATTCGTTGTGGCCTCCCCGCCACTATTTCTGGGTTCTTTGTATTTTTCTTTTTTTAGAATATCCTGCAATACTTTCTGTAGGGTTGAATTGGTGGTTGCAAATTCCCCTAGTTCCTCTTTATCCTGAAAGCACCTTGTTTTTCCATCAATTTCCAGGGACAGTTGTGCAGGATATCTCAATCTTGGCTGGAGATTATTATCTTTCAAAGCTTGAATTATTTCCCCCCATGCTCTTCGTGATTTGATGGTTTGTGCAGAGAAATCTGCTGTAATTCTGATGGGTGTTCCCTTGTAAGTGGTCTGTTTCTTGTCTCTTACAGCTTTTAATATTCTGTTCTTGTATTGAATTTCTGAAATTTTTATTATTATATGCCTGGATGTTTCTCTGTTAGGGTTGTAGGTAGCTAGGGTCCTGTATGCCTCATACATCTGAGTATCTTTACCTTTTGCTAAATTAGGAAAATTCTGGATTATTTCTGTGAGTAGCTTTTGTAGTTCACTTGTTTGTGTCCCTACTTCTTCTTTTATGTTCTTAATCCTTAAGTTATGGCTCCTCTTATCATCTTCTTGTCTTTGTATTATTGCTGTTTGTTTCTTTGTTATTTTTAAGAAGTTTTTCATTTCATTCTCCCATATTACAAGTCTGCCCTCCAGCTCAGATAGTCTGTCCTTAGTTTCTTTCAAGCTGTTATGCCAGTCTTGGATAGACTTCTTAATTTCTTGATAGTCCCTTTGAACCTGCTTCACGTACTCTATGCTTTCTCTGTTTTCTCCATCAAACAATTCTCCCCTCTTTTTCTGTTCTTCCATTCCACCATCTGTTTTTTCCTGGGTGGTGCTTAGCATTTCTCTAACTATTCTGCATACTTCTAGCTTCAGGTCGTTGATAACTTCATTCCTGAATTGGTCTATGAGGCTCTCTATATGGCGCTT